TATGTTATTTCATATCGAAACGATTTAAAGGTAAATAAGAAGCATAACAAAATTTACCAACTGTGTGTTTTTTGGAAACCTGACATTGGGCCTCCGGTTAACGAGTTCTGTACTCGATTAAAAAAAAAACAATTAAAATTCAGGTAAAAAGCAACAAATGAATTTATAGTCATGAGTAAAACGGTTTATTATAAAAAAAAAACTTACAAAAAAAACAACTTATTTTTTTTGTTCCATATAGGTCGGTACTGTTAGTTTTTATAACTTCACGCGAATTGGTGTTTTCAATATTCCACAGTATTCTTTGTCCCCACATATTATTTTTCTGTTTCAATACATATAAAAGCAATTTTCATAGATCAAATAGATTTACACAATACCAGTATACCTTGGTAACCTCTACTTTAAGTATATTTTTAATTCCTGAAACTACAAATAAAGAAAAAAAATTAATTAATCCCACTATTTTTCAAAACAAATATACTTTGCTTAAAAGTTAATTTAATATAATATAAGTCAACGCTTAATTATCAAAATGTAATCTATAATACTTGATATTTACGAAGCGATTTAAAATTATATATGTATACATATATATTTTATTAATTGAATACAGGGGGATTTTTTTTTGTTTTTACCCCCCTCCAAAACTAATTATTTTTATACAAAACTTATGTAACTTAAATGGTAAAATATATATTACTAAATTTTTAAATGAAGGATATTATACTAAAAATGCATTTTTCAGCCGAGTCTGCAACCACGAAAGTATAAAATTACACACGGAAAACCCGAAATTTCAACAACCCTCCCTCCTCCTGGGAAAAAGGCTGAATGTTTTTAAAACTTGTTTGGCGCAATTTCAAGATTTAACAGCTAATAAGTGAAATTAATTCCAAATTTGTGTGGAATTTAAACAGTTTCCAATAGAAAAGATAGAATTTTTTTCTTTATTTCACTTTTCGAAGCAGTTTTAGGGATTTAGGTCGGGAAAATTAGACCGAAGGTATATTATCTAGAACAGAACTATAACATATACAATTTTCTAAAAAAAAAAAAACTGTGATCAAACTTTTTTTATATTAAGAAAAACCCCGCCAAAAAAGGGGGAAATTACACTTTTACCGTAGTCAATTTCCAGGTTGCTATGTGTGAGTGAGTAAATAGACAATGAAAATATTTGATTTTTATGGTTAACAACGAAAATTGTTTAATTGAAATTGTTTATTAAATAGTCAATGTCAACTGGTTTCACCAGAGATAACAAAAAGTGAATACATTTAAAACAAAAATGTAACACAAATCATATCCACCCTTAAACTGAAAATTAATTTTTGAGCACATAGTTGACATTAGGTTCAATGCTCTTATCGAAATTTGTTTTTTATCTGTGATCACTGGATTGCTCTTTGAGGCCCAAATTTTGGTTTCCAAACCATAATATGTAAGGTTTTATTTTATGCTCTGAATTTTCGTTGTATGTTATAAATGCGTAAACAACACACAGTAAGTAAAATTTTTTTTTTTTTTGCGTTTTATATACCTTAAATTCGTATCGGTATGAAAAAACATACTAGTCATAATAATACACATAAAAATGCTCCTTAATGGTAGATCTACTAAGATTTTTCGTACTACTTGTTTTGATTGAATGTTTTAAATAAGCTATGTCCTAAATAAGAAAATATTCGAAAACAAAAAACAACATCTTTTATCATCAACCTAGTTATTTTATTTCAAGTGTCCAACGTTAAAACAGTTTTGACTATTATTATATTTTGAGTCCATGCATTTTTTACTTGAGTAATATTATTTATTGAAACTCATTTTCTTCATAGCAATAGTATAAGTGATTTATTAATTAAATAAGCCGTTGTCCAATTATACTGATTAAATAGTGTACCTATATATACAGGGTGACTGGTTAATTCTGCCCCAATCAATTTTATAAAAAATAAAATACTTTTAGCTTCGATGCAGAGCATTAGTTTTACTCTGATGTGGGCTTTTTTTATCTGTATAAACTGTTACTTTTTTAATACTGGATCACTTCCTTCGAGTAGCAACTCTATAAATCACAAATTTCATCTAGTTGGTACATTGGGGGGGAGGGGGGTAAAAGTTGAAAAAGTTTACTCCTTTACAGTGGAAATTTGAAAAAACAACAAAAAAACCGTACGAGTTTTTAAGTTAGAACTTTAACTGGCTATAATTTCGAGAAAAAGAGTCGGATCGAGTTGAAATTTATAAGAAATATTTATTTAGTATGCCTGCACACGTCAGTTGTATCAAATTTTAATTAAACCTATTTCCAATTTGAAAGTGATTTTATCCGAGAGGACTAGTACAGTAGAGTATAGGCATAATGGAATCAAAGCCACTAGGGGACGGAGAGATCACAGGTCTACAGGAATTATTATAAATACAAGCGATAAAATTGAATAAAATCACTTTCAAATAAACGCTTTGATGCTTATTTGTAAATACAGAATATCAATTTAATACTTTTTAACTTTGCTGGTTTATACTGTGCTTGGTATAAACTGTACTGGCTTGAAAATACTAACTACCGATTTGCATCGAAGCGTTTTTTCGAAAGTGATTTTTTCAGTTTCCGATTTAAAAATTCCTGTAAACCTGTGATCTTCCCGTCCCCACTATTTTACACACAACACTACAAGGTATTTTATACACTCGCGCATTTTATTATACTCGATTAAAAAAACAACAATTAAAATTCAGGTAAAAAGCAACAAATGAGTTTATAGTCATGAGTAAAACGGTTTATTATAAGATACATTAAATTTGGATATAAATGCAGTTTGGAACAATTGTTTTAATATAATAATAATAGTGCAGTATAATTTTTAGCAAGTTAACTCTAAGATTATTGGTCTGAATTGTAATAACTGAAAAGCATGCGAATACTTGTTACCATGTATTAGTGATGTTTATTAAACACACTAATTTATTTTTTTAAACAGTATCGTACCCTGTGGGATTGACTTTCATAACAATATTGTCTATACCAGTAAGAAAACACAAACGACCTTGAACTTTAGCTTCTATTATATATGCTTCTGGGTTTCTTATACTTCTAAGCAATCCTTTTAGTCGACACAACCAGTCCGCCACTTTTGTGTAATTACCATTTTTATCTTAAAAAAAAAATTATTCAGAAATTTACCAAACTTAACTTACTAGTTACTACATATATAGTGTAACACATAACTAATACACGTGATAAATACAATGTACAGATTGTCCGTGTTGTGTAAATGACCGGACAACCTGTTTATCATGATCAAAAGGCATATTGTAATTTCATAATTAAGTTTAAAAAAACTTAGAAGCTTTTGTATAAAATAGTTTTCCAAACCGGGTTTGGTCGACCAGTCAACATTTTTTAGCACATTATTGTTAATTTAAAAAGTTAATGAAATGTAATGTATGTGTTACCATTTAAGTTTAAAAAATTGCCATCTAAGTTAAAAAACTAATTCGGGAGGGGGTAAAAACAAAAAGAATTGTAGAAAATTGAGATCACATTGTATAAAAATATTATTAAGTCATAATGTCCAGAGAAATTAAGATTATATGTTTATTCCACCAGTTAAAGTTATGAGAACTATTAAATTAATCAGAATCATTTTTTTAAATATTATGTCTTATCTTTATATATATATATATATATATATATATATATATATATATAGAGAGAGAGAGAGAGAGAGAGAGAGAGAGAGAGAGAGAGAGAGAGAGATACAGGGTGTATTGTAAATTTCAACCGAGCTTAAAATGAGACAGTGAGGATGCTCTATGGGAACTATAAATGATATTCTACTATTACAATTTTATATAATATTTACTCATAAAAAATGCTTGTTTTATCAAAAAACGTTTTGTAACGTCAAGAGTTAGTTGTCTTCTCACTTCTCCAAGTTCTTTCAACCCACAGTTTTCAAAATCTGTACAAATTAATTAATAACTGTGTCAATGACAAAATATTCATAAAAAAAAAAAAATTAATTGCACGTGTTAAAATTGGAGAATATAATAAATTCAATGAACTGTATTAATATAATTTTTTCATACTTCAAACTTAAATAACATATTTATACTACCAACAATTTTTCATCAAATTTTTCAAGAAACAAGTAAAATGTTTTTAAAATTATATTCGAATAAAGTACTAATACAATTATTTGAATAATTTAAACATATGGAGGATCAAAAAACCTATTAGCGCAAACTTGTCTAATATATTTACAATTTAGAATATTATTTTAAAGACAATAATAAAAAATGTAAAACCATTAAGTCTCACAATTAAGTCTTAGAACTAATTACGATTAACAAATTAATGCGTAATTACCTTCATTTTTAATATCAGGATCAGGATGAATACCTGTAACAGAAATATTAAATAATTAAACAGTAAATAAAATCCCATTTTATATTTTATCTATAATAATAGTATCTAAAACTGAGTTTATTTAGACTAATTAATTATAAGGTATTTGAATAATTATTATTTTTGAATTTGGATATTCTCAAATTATTATATTTACCTAGAACTTCGGATATTTTGTTTTGCAAGTCAGTTTGATAATCTATGTATTCTAAAATTTAAAACAAAAAAGTCATTAGTTTTATTCTAAATCTTTTTTTTTAAAAAGAAAGAAATATGTAAGTACAAAACAAATCTTGTTTTCTATCTAATATTTATAAGATTAATTACCCTGTAAGTTTTCCTGGATTGACGTTGCTGGAATTAAAACGAGAAAATGTTATCAAATAACTATGTGGAAACACGTCCATTTACACTTGAGAAATATTATGCACATATACCCCTTCTTTATCAAATAATCGATTAAAGTAACATTTATACTGAGTGATACTGCTGAGTGTCTACCCATAAACGATAGCTTTAATGTCAATCTTAATTTTATTCTACATATTTTTATATATATATATATATATATATATATATAAATTACCCTTCCAATCTTCTTCATTAATTTCCTCGATTGGCGGTGCTGTAATTAAAACGAGAATATTTTATACTTAATATGAAATAACTATGTGCAAACACGTCCATACACTTGAGAAATCTTATTACCTGGTGCAGCCAACATAAAAACCATTTTCTCTGAAATTTACATAACATAAATGGATTAGATAATCCATAATGATATTGGATTTATTATATTATTATATTATATGATCAGGTTTGGCACGACGGCCGATTGTTCAAACTGAAGAAGTCACTTTTAGTTTTTACAATTTTCTAAGCTTAAATACATTTTTATCAAATTATATTATAATTACTCATTTTTGCATTTTCATCCAAAATTGTTCCAATTACTTTTTGCATACCCAATACTATAAACAAATAATGGGTTTTTAGGACTTAAAAAATACATTTTAATAATAAATATATATATGTATATCAATTACCCTTCCAATCTTCTTCATTAATTTTCTCGATTGGCGGTGCTGTAATTAAAACGAGAATATTTTATACTTAATATGAAATAACTATGTGCAAACACGTCCATACACTTGAGAAATATTAATACCTGTTACACCATATATAATAGCAATTTTCTCTGAAATTTACAAAATATAAATGGATTAGATAATGATTTATTATTTTATAGTATTATTTGACCAGATTTGGCACGACGGCCTATTCTGCCCTCCTAAACAAAAATGCCGTAACTCGAAAAATTAAAAATTAAAAAACCCTTTAAATAAAGTAAAATGGTGTATATATATATATATATATATATATATATATATATGTATAAATACAGGAATGCTCACAAAGATTTGGCAAATGAAATAACTTTAATAACCGCGTAGATATAATTTTATCTGCGCGCGATACCGCAAATGAGTATAAATGATTTTAAAAAAAAAATCTCAAAAATATTCACTAGAACAAAAGTTATTTCATTTGTCAAATCTTTGTGGACCACCCTGTATATATATATATATATAATATATATTTAATATTAATACCTGGAGAAAGAGAATTCACCTCCGCGATTTGTCTATCTATAATAAATGAATGGAAATGAGTAAATGCAAATGTTTAATCACAAAGTTGAAGTTGTACAATAAAATAAATTACTGACTTGTGATGACAAGATGCTTCTTATATAACGCTGTAAAAGAGTGAATTTTTTAATTTTTTTTAGATTTTTAATCATCTTGAAGGGGTAAGTGTGAAAATACAATAAATAATAAATACCTAGTTTATCTTCTGCTAAAACATTTATAGCGACGAACACTATTAAAACACAAAAACGTTTCATCTTTTTCTGCAAAAAATAATAATTGTATAGAAAGTTTTAGATTTAAATGTATATTTAACTTTTTTAATATCTTTATGTAGCTAGTCTATGGGTCAGAAATCGAACTTGAAAGATACTTTCCTAAGTATTTAATGTCAAATTAAAAAAAAAAGAGGTATTTTTGAATATAGAAAAATGGCTACGCTAATAATAATTGTACAAAAATGTATATACATATGATAATTTTTTGGGTATTTTCTTGAGTTTGAAAGAGAAGAGGGTACAATTTTTAAATTTTCGGCTCAATAAAGTAGAAGAAATTAGTTAAGCGATTAAGTAAATATATTGGATCTAGTTAAAAAAAAAAAAATGTTTAAATATTTGATTGTAGAAACAATAGCATTTCATCTCCTCATCAAAGTTAAAATCGAATTTTGCATGATTTTACTTTACTGTATACTTTGTATAATAATTAAATCTTATTATAATAAAGGCAGCCTGACACCAAGTTTCAATTATAATATTATATATAATTATTATTATTAAGAGACAAATAATATCGCAACTATTTTTTATTCACTTAACGATATTTTACATAAAGATTACAAAGTATTTTTATTTTAAAGTACCATATGAAATAATATTAGTTTGAAATGTTTAAAATAATGATTTTTGCAGAGCGCTAAAAACATGAGGCACATTTTTAGCTCGATTTCTAATTTTTGGTCATGCTATTCGAATAGAACGGTGTGTACCTACTATTGTTGTAATATATTATTTGCGAAATTAGCAAAACGTTTAAAAGTTTATCGATAATCTAAATACAAAAATAAAAAATTAGAAAATAAGAAAAACTCAATTAAAATGTATTAAAACTTACTAGCAATCTTTGAAATTATGATAGAACTCTTGTGAACCTCTTTGGTAAAACAACCGTTTCAAAGTATTTTGCAAGAAAATCGTCAACCAAAACGGTAAAAACGGAAAAAGTTTTTCAGTTTGCAAAATATGTACTTTAGTATGTTTACTTGTTTAAACAAGTGTGAAGAAATGTTTAAACTATTGTCTTCATAGCTATTGGTTTTACAACGGCTCGCAACACTAATGTTATTATCATGAAATTTAAAAAATTTGTCCGTGTATGATTTTATGTCCCCTTGCAATCCAAATAAAAAATCTTTAGGGAGAATTACTATTTTAGTATGGCAAAGGGTTACAATAAAAAAAAAAAAAAAAGTTTTATCCGTTACACGAAAAAAACATTGAATTTTGCATCTGCTTTTGGTTATTTTCTAAGATAGTATTGATAAGAGATCAATTTAAATTATATGTATAAGTATAACTTTTTCATTTGTTTCAAAACATATCATATTAAACTATTATTTTCATTGTAGCCGTGTATCCATATTGTATAAAGATACAAGAAAACAAAATAATATATTATTGTAAAGCGTATATTATTCCTACTACGCTGTGTAAACGAGCAAAACAAACACCGACACAATGTGTTTTTCGACTCTCGTTAGTATTTATTCAACCGAAAACAAGTGCGTTCGGTTTGATATTATTGTTCTACCCATTGTAAAACCTTGGCTAGAAACGAAAGAAAATTTTATTTGAATATACACTAAATAACACATAATATACAAAACGGTAAACTAAGAGAAATTGCACGGTATAAGCATTACTTATTCGTTGATATAATGCATTCTCGTTCGCCGATGCAGTGAAATGTTTTCTATAAGTCTTAAAATATAATTATTTATTCTATACAATTTTAAAACCAAATTTGGAACACTGACAATTGTTGTACATTTTATATACTAATTGCTTAGATAAAAAATAACTGGCCCCAAAATGTAATAACAATGAAAATCGTTTTAACTTTGGAAATTTCAAATAATATAACTAGGTCGATGTAAAAAATGTTGTTTTTGGTTTGGATAAATTTCTTATTTAGTCCATTGGTGTATGACTAACGGGTAACTGTTTAAACAAGCATAGGTACAAAACATAATACCAAAATATGTTTTCGTCTTACTTCGATAAATAACACAACTTAAAATGTGTTTTCGTGTAAGATAGTATAATATAAGAAAAGTATAAGATATATAACTAATAATAATTTCAATGAAAAATGGACTTTTTCGTGGAAAAGATTATACATAAGATGTATATAATAACCATATTTATTTACCATATAGATTTTATTGGAGACATTTTACATAAATAGTGTAAACTTTCTTAGCTATCTGAAAAAAATATTAGACAAATTCTCAAATTTTGGGCTACACGAAAAAAAAAACTTTTTATATTTTTAACACATTTTTAATGACTTTATTTTACTCGAATATAAAACTAAACAATTTTTTTTATAAAACTGAGATTATTTTACATTGAAATCAATTTAGAATAATTTATTTTGATGGCCGAAGATACATAAAAAAAACAATTAAAAAATTGTCTAATAAAACATAAACAAAACTATCTTAATAAAAAATTACCAAATGTGAATTATTTTTCGATGGTAAATTTATAAAAAATCAAATAAACTGTATTATTTTTTAAGTGACAACTTTAGCACAAAACATTTCGAGTAAAATAGTCTTTCCTGTCATTATACACAATTAAATAATATGTATTTAAATTTAATAAGATATGTGAATATATTTATAAAACATACAATATAAATGGCACAACAAAGTGACTTACTTACCCAGCACTAAAAAGGGAAGAAAAGGGGTTCTTAAACACAGCTACCACTATTTACATACCACAATTGCGGTACATGGTTTTGGTTAGTGCCATAGATTTATATATTATGGAACACCGTTAAAATGGTCAGGATTAAAGTTTAATATTTAAATTACATAATAATAATATATTGTCAACCCGCGAATTCACCCAATCGTGCGGCTAATATAATTTTTTAAACGATTATCGTGTGTCATCACAACAATAGCAATAACATCACTCCGGTCTTCCTAACCTCAAAAATGCCGGCGGCAGCCTTGTTGAAGACCGGGGGATGACACCACTCCTACCAAAAATCATGTTATTCCATGGTACATTTTTCCTAATCAACATTATTTTCCAGAGACCATTTTTTCTGTTAACCACTTGTTCAAAACTGGAAAAATAATAGTTTGGAAAAAGTGGTTATCGGGTCGTTACTTTTTACACTTACAACAATATTTCCCAATTTTAAAATATCCTATAGAAAATATATTCGTTGGGAAAAGTAGATGTAAGGCTTATGTATGTGTCTTTTGGATTTTTTCATACTTTGAACAATTAGGTAATTAGTGATATAACCTTTATAACAATTTATCTATTGTCGTTTATTCCATTTCAATAATTTCATTACTGGCTTCCTAACCTCAAAACTGCCGGCGGCGGCCATGTTGACCGGTCAGTTGTCGACATACCTTGTGTTTTTATTTTTTTTGCTTAACGTCCGTATCTAAAAATAGATCATTCCGTGTCAACGGGACTTTCCGTGCGTTATCATCCGAACAACAAACATCAAAGGGATTGTTATTTGCTTATAATCGTTGGATTTGACGGTTCAATTTTTTTTTTTAAATGGTAGTTCAACCGTAATTTACCTATGTAAATTCAATACTATCAAATGACCCGAGCCGTAATTGGTGACTGGTGTCGGTTTCGCGTTGGTATCTAATTTGTTAATAAAATAATATTTTCTAAGATATTTTGCTCTTGTGAAAAATAAACCGACCGGCATGACCGCAACAACCGCCTTTGAAGGAGGAGACCAAGTCACCCGGGACTTGCAAAAGCTGTGCTTAAAAGGCGGTGCCGTTGAATTCGTCACAGGATACGAGAATCCCGTTTCCTGGCACAGGAAGCACCACGTCCCCCGGGAACAGCTGTCTAAAGATGTGCTGTTCGACAACCTGGACATGAAATCCATGACGTTGGCACAGTATTACGGCAGAATACCCGAGTACATCAAATGGAAATTGTAAGTAAAAATTGTTCGTTAAAATTCAATGCGCCGTTGACAAAAATCCCCAAGACGGTCCGTGCTGTGTAACTGACCTGCCGCCCTACCCTTTTTTTTAAATATTTTCTAGCCCACAATTATAAAGGTTTTTTTTCACGTCTACTACAGTGAATCTTAAAATCACAAACACCCTTGGGTTCACCGTTTGAAATTGGCCGATGCAAGACGGCAGTACGGGTCACACGGCGCATATTGTTGTGTTGTAGTTGACGCTGCCATTCGATAATGTTTGCTCTTTACATTCGGTTGTAGAAATAGTTTGTACAATACACAATTAGCAGTGTTTCTGAAAATATTTATTTCCAATTCAAAATACCTATTACAATTAGGCAAAAAAAAAGTATAACAGTGTTCGATTAATATAAATCTGTTTTATTACACAAATGTTAACGATAAGTACTATTGTTATGAAATTTAGTGCTATAAAAAAAACAATCAAAATCACCATAAAAGTGGAGCACAAATGTATTTATTTTTAACAAATTTGCTTACAGGTTCAATTACAATCTAGTAATTTGTTACGAGTACATTAGAAGCAAAACCAAATTGAGCGAAGCGCTGAACATCTTGAAAGACATTAAACATATTTTGACTTCTATAAACGACAAGGATAAATTCTTACAATCCGTAAAAATTGCACTCGGTCATATCGCATACTCGCTGAAGGGTTACGTATTGAGTTTATGCAACGACAACAAAACGGTAGAAATTATTCAGTCGTTTACAAAAAAAAACTGTATTATTAACAGAGTTTTTTTTTTTAGGAATTGGAGAACTTCGAGTCGGTCAACGACATGGACAACGTCAACAAAGCGGCTTTGTTCGGCGTTCAGTCCGTGTTTTTCTACGAGTACGGTTTGCCCTATGTCCAAATATCGAGCGATTGTGCGTTAAAAGCCATATCTCTGAACGAGTCCGAAGCCGAGTGGCATTACTTGATGGCGCGAGTGTTGACCAATTATTATAGGCAGCGAGCGAACCAAGTATTCTGTTCCAAACGAGAAATCGAAGAATCCGAAATAGCCGTTCATCTCGGTAAAAAACCTCATCACAAGTTGCATTTGGTGTTGGTGTATCAGCGTATGTGCCGGACAGTACACGTTAACCCCGAAGCCCGGAAAGCGATTTCCAAAGAGACTTTCAAGTTGTTAAAGTGAGCTCGAACTCTAGTATAGAAGTTTTATAATTTTGTCGAATGTAAAACGTTTCATGACACCTTTCAGAGAAGTAATGAACGAAACCAACGACTTGTTTTTATTGAAAAACTGCTTGCTCAGTTTGTGCAAACTGCCTGCGAAAGAACAGAACAACATGACTGACATTTTGGAAAAACTTGTTGACAAACTAGAATCCAGTAACAACGGTTACATACACGGTGCTATTGGCCATTATTATTTGTTTATTAAAAAGGTAAACAATCAAATTGTATAAATATTTTTTTTTTTTAAATGGTATATTTACAAACTAAAACTCTATCATAAATAACACTTTATTTTGCGTTGAGAGAATTTAATTAACAACAAGTAACAAATTGAAAACTATTTAAATACATTTATAATTTCCACTCTAAACAGTAATTTTATTGAAATTCGACAAATGGAAATAATTATAGGACAAATTAGATTGTATTTAAGTAAAACTTTAAAAACAAGTTATTAACAAAAGGCAAAATGAAAATGTAGGTAATAAAATAATATAATTTATAGTGAAAAATTATATTCAAAGTTTTAAGCACAAAAAATAAATCAAACGTGGCCATTTTTTATTTAAATAACAAATACAAATTTTTAGGTAATTACAATTTATTCAAACTACATTTTAATTTGACAGTTTTAAATAACATGCTATTTTTTATTAACTTTTTAAAATAAAAACATATTTAGTCTTTATAATTTAAAAAAGGAGTTTAAATCACTTTTATTTATTATTTAAAATGTGTTTTTTATTATTTGAGTTTTAAATACATTTTTTTCTCTATAACTATTTAGTGTTAATTGAAAATGTATTTAAATCATTTTTTATTTGTTAGTAATTGTTAATTAAATTTTCTCAATTCAAAATAAAATATTATTTTTGATCTGAGTTTTTGTTGTAAATATAAAATAGTTTTTTTGAAATAATGTCAACGATTTAGTTTATTTATTTACCAAGCACAATATTTGTAATCAAAATTATTTATATTCATATAATATTAATATTAAACTTGGACTAGTATTTTATTCAACTTAATGTGTTCTTTTTGTTAATATTTACATGCATACTTTTTTTATGCGATTTTGATTACAAAGAAAAACTAAATAAATATATTATGGTTGTAGGTAAAATAATATTTTTATTTAGCCCAAGTAAATAAGAAATAATAAAATGTATATGATATTAACTTGGTCAGTTTTAGTATTTTATGAAACAAAACATTATTTTATAAGACAGTTTGTTTTAAATTACATTTTATAGAAAAGATATGATGTATTTCTAACGTAATTGAATTAATAAAATATACTACTTGAATCCTTAAGCAAACCAATGCTAATTACTTTGTATTTCAGGACTACGACAAAGCCAAAAGCCACCTGAAATTGGCCATGGACGTGAAGAGCTTTGGTTCGTCCATCGACTATGTGTATGCGTTGTTCAAAATCGATCCCGAGACGGCGCCCGTGGAAAAGATGATGTCGAAATTTTTAGACATATTTTCGCATCCGATTCAACAAGAAAAACTCTTGAGTCAAATCATATCCTATTTGATCATAACCAAAGACGACATCGTCAAATCCCTACCGTACATTTCGATGCTGTTCATCTACAAGGACGCAATGTGCTTACAAAGTCTAAAGGTAAAACCTAACACATCTGAATAATTATTTTTTACCCGATTACACGACGATTAATATTCGGCCCATTTTGCACAGACGCACGTTCCAAAATTTTCGTTAATGCCGCAAAAATACAATCTATTAGACGTCATTAAGGAAAGTCTGCTCAAAGCGCGGCTCGATGAATCTTTGTCTGCGGACGATGTGGACAACGTAAATATAGTGTTGACGAAACTGGATAAGTATGTTTTGTCGTTTAAACCGGAAATTTTTTTTAACTGCAAAAACAACAAAGGGAATTTCAATGAAAAAAATCTATTTCAATTCAATAACAAAAACGTGCGAGAGAAAAAAAGTGACGAAGACAATTGGAGAAAGTTAAAACCCGAAGAAACTTCGTCGTCGTCGTTTCCACAAATTGTTCACAATAAGAACAGACAACAAAGGTCTAATCGTGATAATATAATAATAATAATAATTCTGAGAGAAAGTCTAATTATTTGTATTCGAAATAATAGTTTTATTGTTATTGTTTAAAACTTTTTAATATTTAATTTAAATTTTTCTGAGATGAATATCGTTGTTACTTGTTCTTGTTATAGTTAATTGCTTAATACAATTAGTAAGTTTTAATAAATGTTATTATGTATATTATTATTAAAAAAAAAAAAATGTTGTACTATATACCCAAATTGGAGCCAAAAAAAGTATTGTTATTGTTTGTAGATTAGAAACAGTTAAAAAATTAAAACAATGTATAAGGTTATGCTGTATAATTAACATTGTTTAAAATTAAATTATAGGTTAGTTACCAATTTTCTTTTAAAACTTCATAGTTTTCATTAATTCATCTAAGAAATATAAAAGTTAAAAAAGGTATTTTTTTTTTTTGTACAAATAGTTTATTCAAAATAAAATCCCAAACAATTTTTTTATTCAATTATTTTGTGAAAAAAACTTAATTAAATTTTACAAATGACTAGTTAAGTTTTAATTACTTTTTTATATTTTATAAATCAAATTATAACCAATCGATAAATGGTTACATTTTATATTTTTAATAACATCGATTGTGATTACACTAAACCTGCATTTTTATTAATAAAAAAAAATTAAAACTTAGATTACCGTAACATCATTTAGTTAAAACACAAAATAATAATATTTGTAAAAGTATAAAAAATAACAAATTTAAAAGAATCTTGATTGAAACTTAGTGTAAAATATAATTTAAAAAATTAAATAAATCCGCGATTTTCAAAATCAATTAATGAAAAATATGTACAATACAAAATGATGTATCAATAATTAACTATAGGTATAATTTCAGATGGCGCCATAGATAATTTAAGATGCTTGGAACTGTGTTCGAAAGTTACACTGTTACAATTATTACAACTTATCAAAGATATTTCGGGAACATTCTTCAATTTTTGTTGGAAAATGTCATTGAAAAAATCTATGACAAAATGGGCAAACCTCTGGAAGTCCTTATCGTTGTTCTCTTTTTTCATTGTGATTAATGTACGATTCGTGTCAGTTTTTATTTTATGAGCGTTAAGTAGAAAATCGTCTTGGTCCTTGAAATTCAACAGCGTAACGTTCATTTTAAGACTATGGATCATATCGATCAAAACCAAACCGGTGGGGTTGCCCATGTACAATTTAACGATCAACAAGTGACTGTACCCTTCTTCCGTCGAACTCTGGATCAAACTGTGTTCGTTCACGAAGAAGCGACAGTGTACGGCCGAGTTGGGTATTATTTCGCACAAAACAGACAACAGACTTTGTGTCGATTCGCTAAGGCTTGATGACGATATCGAGGTCGTTATTTTCGTCCTAGCGCTCGTTTTAAAGAGATCCGTCAGAGACATGTTTGATTCGTCTGGATCGATTATAATTAGACTAGCGTCGCACTTGGAGTCGTTTCCAACGTTCAACGATTCGTCCAAGTTAATGATACTGTTGTTGGCCTGGAACAAAATAATATATAAATGTACCTATTTAGAAACGGACAATCTTTGCACGCACATTGACTGTCTCACGAGAACTGCCCAAGTACTTAAATAATATCGCTATAAACTAAATTATTTGTACATTACATTATAATATAATACACACCTTGATCGAATTTATAGTATCTTTCCAGCCGGGGTCGATTTGGAACTGCAGTTTGATCAATTGTGTTTCACAAACCTTAACGGCACAATACGGACACTTCAGCGATCTAAAAAAATGAAAAATTAATTAGTGTATAATCCTTTGCTTAATTAATACACAACCAATACGCTTTCATACCTACGTAAACAGAGCAGTATACACTTTGTATGGAACAAATGGCCACAAGGAGTAGCGTGAACGCTTTCCGGGTATATTCCCGTTAACATTGTGTTGCAAATACCGCAACAAAACATATTGATACTGAAAAAAAATAATTTTAATTACTACCTAATTTTCATTTGTGTGTGTGTAAAAAACAAATCAAGTTTGGTTAGTTTACGTTGCATAACAAAAATGCAAGTGTTTTAAGTAAAATGTAAAAAAAATAGATACAATTTTTTTATGTAAATTTTTAATCAAATGAAACTTGGAAATATGATCAAAATGAAAAAAGTCAAGTGTATATAAACACTCAGTTACACAGATACATAAATTTATTTTTAATCAAAACCGTAAATAAAAATACGTTCTTAACCGTATAACGTTTTGACAGGCAACGGCCGCACGACGTAACACAAATACGAGGTTAATGCACAACCAATATGTTAATTTTTTTATATTGTATATCTACTCAATGTTTCCTATTGGCTATATTGTATAATATTATGTATTGTCAAGTACAAGTCAAATTATATTCAACAAGGGGTGTTGGTATAAAACTACCGACACTTACTTGGGTACGGTGACGATTATTGGTGTAGTTAAAATTGTATGCACAAATGAAAAGTAACCCGATTGTGAAATATTTTCAAAAATATAATTTGTAAACCGCACAGTTTTTGTATTGAAAAAATATTGTAACGAAGCCGGTAGAAAATCGACTAATAACACTCATCGAAGGCAACAGCTGTAATTCCCAGCAGAATTTAAAAATATTATTACCTAATTAGAACTTGACCAATTACAACGGACATTAACAACACCACGATTGACCGGCCAAGCTTACTGGCTAAATAATCTTTGGCGAGAGCGACACAATAACAAGTAGATATTATATCACATTTAGAATATTATTATGACACACTATTGTCGACGTTAGGCCACAAAACCCGGTCAATAATTGGTTTATTATCAATATACTTTGTTTATTTTTAAAAATACACCGCCCCACCGCATTTATAGTCTTTTATACACCTCTTGTATGTGCCTAATTGGTATGACAAAAAACACAATAAACTGTTGACTTACACAAGCCGTTCCAGCTGGCAGTTGTTAAAAATATATTAAATGCAATAATAATAATAATAATAACACTGTAAGTAAAACAGCTATATAGTAGCAAAGTTCACCTACATCCGGTCGCCTCCAAAGTTGCTGGCATAAAAAATCCCAATTTGTGTCTTGTGATTTATAAAAGAAAAACTCCACATGAATCCCTAGGTTAGTTCTGAGAATTTAGTGGAAACAATGTATGGGTGATAAAAAACGATTTGAAATACAATAAAAATTATTATTCGAGAAGTATACAAAACACAGGAATGGGATACACGATACCTAGACTTAAAACAAAATGACCAAGTAAAAACACAAAAAAAATATTATCTAGATATATTTTTTATGTTTGCAATCTACATTATTATTTATTATAATAATTATCGACCACAAAAAATATGTTTTCAATTTTATAGTTAGGAATTTATATTCAGTTTTGAATTTTTAATAACTATTTTTTTTTTTATTTATAAACATATATCTACCAACTGCATCTACAAATGAGTGTATGCATATTTTATATGATTAGAATAACGGTTTTATGGGAAAAAATTGGTTTTAAACTCCAAAAACTAAGTATACAAACTGCTTATATAAGGACAAAATGTAAATGCCTCTATTTTTTAAAGGTTTAGGTAAGCATATTAATGGGAAAATTATGATAAAATATGATCAAGCAGCCAAATTTTTGAGACATTTTTTTAATTTTAAATAAGTTCTTTAGTGATGCATCCCATAAGCTAATAATAAAAAAATTGAAAATATTTTATACTTATCATAAAATCATAAAACTATCAAATGTAAATATTACCATAAGGAGTAACGACAAATAACTAATTTCTATAGCTCATAATACAATACTATTATATTCTATTATTTTGTGAAAAAAACTTAATTATATTTTACAAATGACTAGTTAAGTTTTAGTTACTTGTTTATATTTTTTAAATAAAATTATAACCAATTGGTAAATGGTTACATTTTATACTTGTAATAACATCGATTGTGATGACACTAAACCTGCATTTTTATTAATAAAACAAATTAAAACTTTAGATTACCGTAAAACATCATTTAGTTAAAACACAAAATAATAATATTTGTAAAAGTATAAATAATAAGAAATTTAAAAGAATCTTGATTGAAACTTGGTGTAAAATAAAATTAAAAAAATTAAATAAATCCGCGATTTCCAAAATCAATTAATGAAAAATATGTACAATAAAAAATGATGTATCAATAATTAAATATACGTATAATTTCAGATGGCACCATAGATAATTTGAAATGCTTGGAACCGTGTTCGAAAGTTACACTGTTACAATTATTACAACTTATCAAAGATATTTCAGGAACATTGTTCAATTTTAGATGGAAAATGTCATTAAAAAAATCTATGACAAATTGGCTCAACTTTTGGAAGTCTTTATTGTTGTTGTTGTTGTTTTTCGCTTCTCTTTTCATTGTGATTAATGTACGATTCGTGTCAGTTTTTATTTTATGAGCGTTAAGTAGAAAATCGTCTTGGTCCTTGAAATTCAACAGCGTAACATACATTTTGAGACTATGGATCAGATCGATCAAAACCAAACCGATGGGGTGGCACATGTACAATTTAACGATCAACAAGTGACTGTACCCTTCTTCCGTCGAACTCTGGATCAAACTGTGTTCGTTCACGAAGAAGCGACAGTGTACGGCCGAGTTGGGTATTATTTCGCACAAAACAGACAACAGACTTTGTGTCGATTCGCTAAGGCTTGATGACGATATCGAGGTCGTTATTTTCGTCCTAGCGCTCGTTTTAAAGAGATCCGTCAGAGACATGTTTGATTCGTCGGGATCGATTATCATCAGACTAGCGTCGCACTTGGAGTCGTTTCCAACGTTCAACGATTCGTCCAAGTTAATGATACTGTTGTTGGCCTGGAACAAAATAATATATAAATGTACCTATTTAGAAACGGACAATCTTTGCACGCACATTGACCGTCTCACGAGAACTGCCCAAGTACTTAAATAATATCGCTATATACTAAATTATTTGTACATTACATTATAATGTAATACACACCTTGATCGAATTTATAGTATCTTTCCAGCCGGGGTCGATTTGGAACTGCAGTTTGATCAATTGTGTTTCACAAACCATAACGGCACAATACGGACACTTCAGCGATCTAAAAAAATGAAAAATTAATTAGTGTATAATCCTTTGTTTAATTAATTAACAACCAATACGCTTTCATACCTTCGTAAACAGAGCAGTATGCACTTTGTATGGAACAAATGGCCACAAGGAGTAGCGTGAACGCTTTCCGGGTATATCCCGTAAAAATTGTGTTGCAAATACCGCAACAAAACATATTGATACTGAAAAAAACGAATTTTAATTACTACCTAATTTTCATTTGTGTGTGCGTGTGTAAAAAACTCGGTCAATAATTGGATTATTATCAATATACTTTGATTAGTTTATTTTTAAAAATAAACCGCCCCACCGCATTTATATAGTCTCTTAACACCTCTTGTGTGTAATTGGTATACCTACTTAATGTATAAAAAAAACACAATCAACCGTTAACTTACAAGCCGTTCCATCCGCATTCAACTGGTGTACACTGGCAGTTGTTAAAAATATATTAAATGCAATAATAATAAGTAATAACACAGTTTTCAATTTTATAGATTGGTATTTATATTCAGTAATCAGTTTTGAATTTTTACCAACTATTATTTTTTATTTATAAACACATCTACCAACTGCATCTACAAATGACAGTGTATACTTATTTTATATGACTAGAGTCTAGAATACCGGTTTAAGTGTAAAAATCAGTTTTAAACTCCTAAAACTAAGTGTACGAACTGCTTATATAAGAACAACATGTAAATGCCTCTATTTTTTAAGGGTTTAAATATACATATTAATGTACAAATAACGAAAAAATATGATCAAGCACCCAAATTTTCGAGACATTTTTAATTTAAAATAAGTTTTTTGGTTATAAATCCCATAAGCCAATAATATAAAAATTGAAAATATTTAATTGACAAATATTGTATACCTAATATAAAATCAAAAAACCATCAAACGTAAATTACCATAAGGAGTAACGACAATTAACTAATTTCTATAGCTCATATTATAATACATTTTTAATACAACTTTATTTGCTTGATAAAAAATAACAAAATCTAGACATTTTAGCCTTTTTCTAGTTGATACCTTTATATTTTATAGATTAGTGATACCATAATATCATACTAAACTTTACAAAATATATATTGTATAAAAAAAATAATTAATATTTTTCGATTGCACTGTACTCACATTCAATATGTATATTACTAAAATATTGAACTTATACTTTTTTCCTTTTCTTCGGACGACAATACAATTCAATTTTTGGGATGGATGGGTGTATTATAATACACGTTTATGGTAATATTATTATGCTTCATACGTTTAGTAATTTATTTTCCTTCGTTAGTAAAGTAGTTTTCATTGACATTTCGACCAGTAGCCAGTGGGCACTTGCCCAAAACTGCGACGGCAGTTTTTTTTTTAAACTCATTTTGGCGGCAAACACTGAACGGCGTCATGGAAGAAACGAACGCGTTAACACTGGTGGACCGGAGTTTTTTTTCTTCCATGACCGGGACGTCACGGCTCGCTGTCGGAGGCGGTGAACTAGCGCTGTCCAAAACTCCTAACCTCGAATTTGTTGCTTTGGGAAAACAAGATATAGTATTCTCTTTCTCAGCGACCGTAGGCTGCCTCGTGTTAGGATCACGTCGTGAATTGTGGTGAGTACATTTTATTCCAACAATTAATTTAATTTCAACTCAATTCAAACCCACGGTATTCTAAACACTTGTACGCTTTTAGTGTAAGTACACCATCGTTGGAGTCTGTGCCGTTTTGGATTTTCAAAATTTTCATTCGCACCGTGTCTGCGGTGTAGAGTGTCAACGTGCCACTAAATTCCTCGCCTTAAATGTCTCCTTCCGGTCCGAGAAAACCAATTTCCGTTTTCCGTTAACCTGAAAACCTGATAAACCGTGTTGAATTGTGAAAATTATTTTACCGTTTAACCAATAATATAATATTTTCATTGTGTTCATTTTGCAGCTAACGAAACGGCACGATGGGTAAAATAATGAAATCTGGTAAAATAGTGCTAGTGCTATCTGGCAGATACGCTGGCAGGAAGGCGGTAATAATGAAGACGTACGATGAAGGTACGTCGGAGAGACAGTATGGTCATGCGCTTGTAGCCGGTATAGACCGTTACCCTCGGAAAGTCACCAAACGCATGTCACAAGAAAAACTGAAAAAACGGTCCAAAATAAAACCTTTCCTCAAAGTAAGACGACATCACCTATTGAATTACAAACAATTTTCGTTTATTATTGCCAAAATCTGTTTTGGACTTTCTATTTGTTCGGTATACTTTCTTTTAGTAGTATCTGTAAATTTTTCATAACTGGCACGACGGTTGTAGTCGATTGTTTAGTGAATTTAGAATAATTGTGAAAACTGTTTACTAACTGCTCTTAAAATGTAATTGGTAATATTGTATTACCCGTTTACATTCTAATGTCTGTCCGTTAATGTATATTTAATTGTATCGATGAAGTAGTCTTGTTCAAATTTTTCATGGCTTGATTACATGTTTCATAGATTTCAGTTGATAGTAATAAAAAAGTGTACTTTTCCCCTTTTTTAAAAATACGTAGTTTTACTTAGGATGACAGTGTTGTGGTTTGAATATTTTGGCCCATTGTTTTTTGTTTTATACAAATTTCTTTAACCAATCATTCATCACTAAGTAGTATTTATATACCAGCCGCTTCTTTGTTGGTTATTTATTTTGATACTTAGTTGCAGAGAGAATTTGTTTGATTAATCCCATTTGACAAGGTGATGAATAGTGAAATCAATTTGTTTTTTAAAAATTTGAAATTTGCTTTAGTAGGTATTTAGTAAAAATAATGTTAAGATATTTCCTAAATGCAAATATCATATTTGGCTACAATTTATGTCACATATTTAGTAGTTCATATTTGTCTGTTTTATTTTTAGAATATTTTTATGGCTCGATTTCCTAGTTTTTGGCTATTCATGTTTAGGTTTAGAAAAATTGTTATTTTCTAAAGAAATGCTGTTTTCAAATAGATGAAATTTGTTTTTTTTTTAACGTACTTAAAATAACTAAAATTAATATTTTTATGTAATTTATCCAGTTAAACTATGTTGTGCAAAAATGAAAATAATATGTTGTACTGTGCTATTAAATTAGAAATAAACTAGTGACAATTAATTAATTCATACTTTTTTTTTAGGTGCTCAACTACAACCATCTTATGCCAACTAGATATTCCGTACAAGATGTGACCGTAGACAAGGTATCACCTAAAGATTTAAAAGATCCAATGATTAAAAAGAAATACCGTTTCCAAACCAGAGTTAAATTTGAAGAAAAGTAAGACCGCTTGTTATTTTATTACTAGTTAAATATAACATTAAATCTAGTTTAAAACAATTCGACTGATGAATGTTAATATATATATATATATTTATTTATTTATATTTATTAATTAAACAATATTGTAACTTCGGCAGTGCGATTTATAAAGTAATTACTGTAAAAAATGTAATTAAGCAATGAAAACAAAAATGGTAGGATTTTTTTATTTAAAATAATTTTTTATACTTGCCCGCATAATAGTTGACCTTGTAAATTTTTTGATTTTTATTTACTTAACCACCTATGCTAAAATTAACCCTCAAGCATAAAATAATGTTATATTGACGTCTCACTAAAATCTCAGATAAAATGTCCGCGTTCAAGTATTATTTTGAAAACACAAGAAAATTTTCAATTATATTATTAAAAAACCATAAATTCATGATTAAATCTCTTGCCTCTTAATTTTATATTTTTGAATTTTTACCAGCGTAATTGAAATCCTTTTTTAGTTAAGTACAATTTATTGTTAAATTATCTTTAGATCAAACATTTGCAAACCTGGGAATTTTTTAACATTTTGTTATAAATATTTGAATTACATTTTTAATTGACTGTCAAATAACCTGTTAAAATGAAATACTTCTTTGACATTTTCGTAGAAATAATTTATTTTATTTTAATCATATTTCTATTTTTATTAGAACTACAAATTGTCTAGTTGAAATTGAATTGTGTTTAAAATTGTTATATGGATATGTTTATTTTGTTTTGAAAATACTTTTGTATTTTAAATTAATTATATATTTAAATTTTTAACTAACACTTAAGTATTCAACTTTCCTGCGGCCAAATTTTTTTTGATAATACGTGAAGTCATGCGTTGTATAATTTACAACAGTATTTCAGATAGTGATAATTGTTGCTTGTTTTAAATAATAAACTTTATTTAGAAAATATTGCTAATATATTATTAAAATATCGGAAATATTTCCACAACGTAATATTTCTAAGGCATTTAATTTTGTGAAATAACACAACACAACTTAAACATCTTTGATATTATTTTGAAAATGCCAAACATATTTTTACTGGTTAGTAAATGGGCCACTATAATTATTAAGACTTAAAAACTTATTTTTTTTCCCCCATTTATGTTATCAATGGACGTATATGACAATTTTCTAATTGTTCGTAACAAAACAAACTAATAAATACCTTTTTTTTTTTAACGAAATTTTTTATAGAACTGCTGGCATTTTAAATTCTAGTTTTATTTTTATACGACTTATTCAACTATTTACAGTTAGTGGAAATTTGATATCGCACGTGTTCTGTCCAACTAAATTTATGCCGCCATCAACACAAATAAATTATGCATCAAATTGTTGTAATCGCATACATTTTTATTTTTTAATGGTCTAAGATAATTCCAAGGTTGTATAGAATAATTTTTATATTATGTACTATCGATATACGTCGACAAATAAAAATAAAGTACCGAAAACACATTCTCTTAAAGAAGTCTAATTTTGTTTATTTCATTTTTTCAAGCTTAGTGCTTGTATATTTCTTGAAAATTTATAGCTTAAACACTTTCTTTATTAAGGAAAACAAAAAAATAGTTCAAATTACTTTGACTATATTAAATTGCCACGTTGATTTGTGTAAATGTATTAATATTTTAATTTATTTTATATATTTTTAACAATGATATATGGCTAATAATTGCAACGAAAACTTAAAAACAGTCAATTAATCACAAATAATTGTGTGCACCTTTAACACTTAAAATACAATTTTAAGCACATGTCGCAATTGCAAAGGTTTTAATCTATATTAGTTACACATTACTATAAACAGATTCACATCAAAGCGTTTTATTTTAATTATTTACTTATTTAGACATTGATTATTTTTAATGCTTCAAAAGTTAATTATATTTAGTAACTATCCGATTAAAACGTTAGTAAATTACCAATTGAGTCATTAATTTGTTTGTTTAAAATTATCTAATTGTAACTATTTAGGTTTAGCTATTTATAGTAATCCATTAAAACGCTTAAAATAATATTCTCTACTTATATATAAATATATTTATTTAGTTATGTATATATTAACTTGATTAATTTAGTAAGAAGTATTTGATTTAAATACTATAATATTATACATAATCAATTTATGTGTTATAATAATTTTTGTTATATTATTAATTATTTTTTTATTTTTTACAGATTCAAGGCTGGAAAAAATAAATGGTTTTTCCAAAAACTGAGGTTCTAGTTTTCATTATGTAAGATTTATCTTTTTATTGGATAATAAAAAAAAAAAACCCAAATCCGTTTTTGTTTTTATTTTGTTTCTTTAATAGTAGTATTATTATATAAGTGATAATTTTCCTATTTATAGCCGTTCTCGACGGTTTAGCTTAAAAAAAACAAATGTCTCTGTTTAGTTTAACAATGTTAATACTACATTTTAAGTTTGGGGTTTATTAATATTCAGAGTGTTAAGTCAAACTGGTGAGAAAGGCTATTTGGTCAGCATATTCCTTCTTTTTTTCTTAAAGAAATGTTTTATATACTTTTAGCAATGACAAAATAGCATTAGAGGCGTTATCTCACAATAAAACTGATCTAAAGAATTTTCGGGAGCTGAAATTCAAAAATTTATTAAAAGACACTTTTGATACATAAATTATTTTACTTTAAACTTAATTTGTTATTTTTCAATTCTATTATCTATTTTAAAATCTTAATTATTTTATGATTTGTGCAATTTACTATTTGAGACAATGAAATAAATTATATTAATTAATTCAAGTTATTATTAATTGAATAAAGGTTAAAAAAAATAACAAAAATTATCATAATTTAAAAAGTTCTTAAAGATGGGATATGTGGGTTAAATTTGTGTTTTTTCCATTTTATTTTTACACTTTAAAAAGGTATTTAGAATGTCTTTAAAAAAAGTTCTTTTAATTGTACTCACAGAAGTGGGTATTAAAAATGTCTTAAAAAGATGTTTTTTTTTGTTAGTTTGAGACTTGATGAAGAATATTTAATAAAACGATTCTTGTCAAAAGACAAGACTAACGTTATTCCTCAAAACGTAACACTTACAAAAAAATTGCTCTATTGTCTAATTTATTCAAAATAAATCTTAGTGTACAACTGAATTGAGATTAAATTTCACTTCAAGCTTAGGTAAACAACGGCTACAAATTATTATAGACAATCAGCCATAAGCGAATCCACCCAAAATAATACACTTCAAATACAATGTTGAGCACATTATTTTCAGTATCAGCGTGTTGAAAAATAAAATCAAACTATATGTTTTTTTTATGTTGTTTGAAATAATACTATATTAGGTAAGTATTAAGATTTACTTGAACAATAATTGTACTATATTGTGATTCTTAAAAACGGCTTCTGTCCGAGTATACTTACTAACCAACAACTACTTATGTAACATGTGTGCAGTGAATTTTGATAAAAAAATTAGCCACATGGGTACTTGGCCAAGATACTTAGACAGGTACTTGACAAGAACCAACTAAGTCGAGGGAAACTTGGTTCTGCATTAATGTATGTACACAAAATAAAACAAAAACCATCACTATAATATTATGTTATATTGCATGCGGTCTGTTTTTAAGGAGTTTTGTATAGGCAATATTTAGACAAAATGAGTGGTTTTAATGAATTTTGACCAGATAAATGAATTTGCCTGTCAACTTGTATAAGTTTCAAGGTATTGTTTTTAATTAAAATAATTTTTTCTATGAGAAAAAGGCAATTTGATTTATTTTGGACAGACAAAATGTCGATTAAATAAGACAGTTTAGTAAGAAATTTAATTTTCTCTTTCATAATGTTTTTATACAATGTGAAATCAATTTTTTTTTTTTTGTTATACCACTTTTCAAAACTAATTAATTTTATATCAACTTTTAAACCCTAAATGGTAACGTATATATTTTATTCTAGTTAACAAAATAATAAACTAATTTATTCGAATAACTATTTTATCCAAATAGTTGATTTACTATGATTATTTTTTACAAGAATAATCGCATAAAAACTTTTTATTGTATTATGTCAACAATGAAAAGTAATAAAAAACATTAAAAAAAAAACTCGGAATTTAATCGTTAAATCAAAGTTTTTGTTTATTTGAATAATAATAATTTTTCAAATAAAAAAAATGATTTAGATAAAAATTATCTAACTAGTAAATGCCCAACTCTGACAACACAAATTATATATCAGGGTTTTGAAAACGTTTCCTATTGTGTTAAGTTCCCAGTATTATTGCGGAAAAGTATAGTTAAAAACGTTTCCACCGGAAATATACCTACAAAGACCTGACAAATGAATTATGAAATAACTCTTGTCTAGACAGCAAATTTATTGGTATTAATTTCCTGAACATTTCGACTGGTCGACAACTAGTTTTGGTTAATCAATTACACACTTAACTAACTTGATTGTTCTCAATAAAATAAAGCAATCTCGACAAAAGTTATTTCATTTGTCAGGTGTTTGTGGGACACTCTGTGTAACGATAATAAGATATACATATTTTATCAGTTCCGTTTCACAATCATTAATCATTGATTTATCCAGAACACGACATTGAAAAAACGGTATTGCTCTTAAACTTAACAGGAAGTAAACAATATAATATGTATAAACCCAGTGACCCCAATCAGTCTAAATTTCAGATCTCTGAGAAAGATGGGGGGGGGGAATTTTAAAAAAAAATTTGGCCTCATAACAAGTACCTAAAAAGTCGACTTGTCTTGAGTACAAATACACCAGAATAAGACATAAGACATGATTGTAAAACCCCATGTCCAATATGTATAAAGTATTGGAAGTGGTTATATTATGAGTTATGACTTATATACTTATCAAAAACTGTATTTTCCAATCACAAAGATTTTTTACAACTGCATACTCTCACTGTATAATATATTTTACCATACATGTAGTTGCATCAGTATAATATCTATTCATATTTTACCATAAATATAATGGCATAATATAAAAATGGCCATTTAGTATACCATACAAGTGTAACAAGAACTATATTATATTCATTGTATAGTGGATTTGACCTAGAACCTTTTGAATCCTCGACACACATAGTATATAATATCGAATTACAGAAAATTTAATGGCCAACTTTATATAATATTTTTTGTATTTTTTTTTAAAACAATTCACAATAATTATACACGGTTTGTAATAATAATAATTATTAGAATAATTTCGCATAACACACTATATTGTTGTACACATGCGATGACAATGAGCCGTCTGCCTACGTTAAAGCAACTCATTGTTGTGATTTATGTAATACTCTTTTTCATTTAAAAACTAGTCATCAAAACGATATCAAAATGTCACTGAAAGCTAAATACGTTGAGTTTCTAATATTTTCTTGTGCTATCATTGCGGCAAAAACAGTAAGAATGCAATAATATTCTTCAAGAGGGGAAATTTCATTAATATATGTGCACTTAAACCACTTTTTGGAATTTCTTGTAAATCTTTATATTACTGAGTTTATGTTTTCCATTTTTTTTTTAAACAATATTTGGAACTTGTGTAACTGAATTTCTAGTTTTAATTAATGTAAAAAATATGCATAGGAAGTACCTTAAGTATAAAAATAATATATTGATAGTACTTACCCATTAAATTGACATATTCTAATATTTATCCAAGAGAAAATGTTGGTAAATATTGACACTTTTTCGTCCACTTTACTTAACAATTTGTTAAAATTTATAAAAAAAAATACTAATTTTGTTTCAAATATGGAAAACACATAAATTTCTGTTATTATGCTAAATTATGATAACCATTTTTATAATTTCTGATTTAATGAAATCAAGTCTTATGATATGTTATAGGAAATACAGTTCTCAAGCAATTGGTAACCATTATTAAATAATTTGTACGCCAGATTTCAGATTTCTAAAGATTACCAGTGATTACCAAAAATACTATCTTTATAAACAAATTCTGGCTCACCCACTGTATTATTTAAATACAAACATTCCTGCTAATATATATATATATATATATGCTAATACTCATTTGATTATCGTAGAAAAAAATGTAACAATTATTCGTGTTTCAGTACATGTTGACAGTTGAACAACTTGGGACCTGCGACAATGTCTCGAACCGCAAGTTGATGGATACCAGTTACAATTATTCGGCTGCCACGACAATCGGACGAGGCTTTTTTGAGTTCCTCACGCCTGTCAATTGGGAAGACGATTTTCAGGTAGACAGGATTAATAATATTAATATAATAATAAAATATAAATGATTATTTCTTCCTGTATTCCAGGTGTCTGTGGATGTGTACGGGAAAACAAACGCTAAATGGACAAAAGTTCCCAGTTTTAGCATACAAAAGACCAGCTTTTGTATAGTTATCTTAACAGATTTGGTTTTTTATCCAATAGTCCGAAAGTTCTTGAGTATTGATTACAAATGCCCAATTAAACCGGTAAAACATCTCAGTCGGTGCAAGTGTATTATATAATTAAAAAAACATTGATTCGTTTTGTTTTTATAGGAGAAGTATGAAATACAAATAAGCAAGTTAGCTTTTAAATACCGTCCGGTACAACCGTATGGTTGCTACAAAGTTAATATTACATTTGCAAAGCCCAATACAAAATATGCTGAAAAAGTTTGTCTTGTTGTTCATATGGCAAATTCGTTCAAATTGAATCATTCCACTTGCAGCTAAGCAAACCTGACCTATTGTTGCATTTGTCTATTAACACCTAAAAATGTGCACTTAAGCCAAAAGCATCTATTCAAATAGTGAAATATAAATTTAATTTGCCTTTTTTTTTTTTTAGTTGTACTCATGTCTCGTTTTGTCAAACAATTTATTGTATTTAAACCCAGATAATAAATTCCCATTACTATATTTGGTAGTTTATTGATAATATCTTAAAGATTAAGGAGTACACTAATTTAGTAAGTAAGGAAGCAAACAACAGTAGCAAAACGCCTTTCATCTTTTAGAATCTTAAAATTGGTATGTAAAATTATAAATGAAAAAAATTATTGAAAATACTCATTCGAAAGTTTGAATATCCGTAATTAACAAATAATATAAATATATAATACAAATAATATTTATTGTACAACGATAACAAGATATACATATATGTTTAATCAGTTCCGTTTCAATCATAGACATTTATCCGGAACACGACATTGAAAAATCGGTATTGCTTTTAAACTAAACAGGAAGTAAACAATAAAAAAGTAAAAGACCAGTGACCCCAGTCTATATTTCAGATCTCTGAAAAAGATGGGGGGGGGGAATTCCGGTCTCATAACAATAGTATATCTACCTACCTTTTGAATACAATGTACCTGATAAAAGTTGTTTTGAGTAAAGACACCAGAATAAGACATAAGACATGATTGTAAAACCTAATGTCCAATATGTGTAAAGTATTGGCAGTGGTTATAATATGACTTACATATTCTTATCAAAAACAGTATTTTCCAATCACAATAGATTTTTTACAGCTGCATACTACCACTATATAATATATTTTGCCATTATGGCATAATATAAAAATGGCCATTAAATATACCATTCAAGTGTTATAAGTACTATAAATGCATTGTATAGTGAATTTGACCTAGAACCTTTCGAATCCTCGACACATTACAGCAACTTTAATGGTCAATTTTATATAAAGTTTTTTTGTATTTTTTTAAAAACAATTCACAATAATTATATATGGTTTGTAATAATAATAATTATTATAATAATTTTGCATAATACTACACACTATATTGTTGTACACAGGCAATGACTATGAGCCATCTGCCATACGTTGAAGCAACTCGTTGTTGTGATTTATGTTATACTTTTTTTCATTTAAAAACTAGTCTTCAAAACGATATCAAAATGTCACTGAAAGCTAAATACGTTGAGTTTCTAATATTTTCTTGTGTTATCATTGCGGCAAAAACAGTAAGAATGCAATACTATTCTTCAAGAGGGGAAATTTCATTAATATATGAACACTTAAACCACTTTTTGGAATTTCTTGTAAATCTTTATATTACTGAGTTTATGTTTTCCATTTTTTTTTTATACAATATTTGGAACTTGTGTAACTGAATTTCTAGTTTTAATTAATGTAAAAAATATGCATAGGAAGTACCTATAAGTATAAAAATAATATATTGATAGTACTTACCTATTAAATTGACATATTCTAATATTTATCCAAGAGAAAATGTTGGTAAATATTGACACTTTTTCGTCCACTTTACTTAACAATTTGTTAAAATTAAAAAAAAATACTATTTTTGTTTAAAATACGGGAAATACCCAAATTTTTGCTATCAGAATAATATATGATAACCATTTTTATAATTTCTGATTTAATGAAATCAAGTCTTATGATATGTTACAGGAAATACAGTTCTCAAGCAATTGGTAAAAATAATTTTAAAGAACTTATTTATTCTAATTGAAAATTACCTAGTTGTTTATTATTCAAATAAAAAAATACATTGACACTGTGATGGTTTAATACAAAATGAACTAGCAATATGGAAACCTAATAACTGTAAAATTATCATTTGACTTACCTATGCCTTTTTGCGCAAGGGTTAAAAGTGGAATTTTTAAAAATTTCATATATAGAAAGCTCGCTCCAGAGGGCAAAGCACTATTAAATAATTTGTACACCAGCTTTTAGATTCAGATCTCAGATTTCCAACAAAACTATCTTTAAAAAAACATTCTGGCTCACCCACTGAATTATTCAAATACAAACATTCTTGCTAATATATATATATATATGCCTAATACTCATTTGATTATCATAGAAAAAGTTTTTCAGCCGAGTCTGCAACCACGAAAGAGCATTTTCGTGTCTCGTTGAAGTACCGAATAAATTTAGAGTAGTGGTGGAATTATAGATAACGATATAGTATATTAACGAGCTGGTAACAAGCTAGTATAATAAAACGTCAAGTTTCTGGCTAAAATTGTAGTGTTTATTATCTGGCTTAAAACAATTCATAGAGAAATTGGGCCCTTACACTGTTTTGAATTTATTATTTAGCTCTAATTTGAACGTTGAACGTACAACATATCTCTTATCTCCTATATCTTACCCCTATCACTAACACCCTATCCTCTATATCTCACCCCTATCACATATCAGATAACAGCGTAATACTTTTTTGGTAACACTTTTTTCGGTTATTTGCCACAGCTAATTTCACCCCAACCTAATCTTCATCCCCATTTCTTTTTTCGGTTATGTGCCAGAGCTAAGACATGAAAATGTCAAAAAATGCAGCAATTATTCGTGTTTCAGTACATTTTGACAGTTGAACAACTTGGGACCTGCGACAATGTCTCGAACCGCAAGTTTATGGATACCAGTTACAATTATTCGGCTGCCACGACAATAGGACGAGGCTTCTTTGAATTTCTCACGCCTGTAAATTGGGAAGACGATTTTCAGGTAGACAGGATTAATAGTATTAATATAATAATAAAATATAAATGATTATTTCTTCCTGTATTCCAGGTGTCCGTGGATGTGTACCGGAAAACAAACGGTAAATGGACAAAAGTTCCCAGTTTTAGTATACAAAAGACCAGCTTTTGTATAGTGACCTTAACTGATTTACTTTTTTACCCAATGGTCCGAAAGTTCTTGAGTAGTGATTGCAAATGCCCAATTAAACCGGTAAAATATCTCAGTCGGTGCAAGTGTATTATATGATTAAAAAAACATTGATTTGTTTTTGTTTATTTAGGAGAAGTATGAAATACAAATAAGCAAGTTAGCTTCTAAATACCGTCCGGTACATCCGTTTGGTTGCTACAAAGTTAATATTACATTTGAAAAGCCCAATACAAAATATGCCGAAAAGATTTGTTTTGTTGTTCATATGGCAGATTCGTTCAAATTGAATCATTCCACTTGCAACTAAGCAAACCTGACCTATTGTTGCATTTGTCTATTAACACCTAAAAATGTGCACTTAAGCCAATAGCACCTATTCAAATAGTGAAATATAAATTTAATTTGCCTTTTTTTTTAGTTGTACTCATGTCAAACACATTTATTGTATTTAAACCCAGATAATATATTCCTATTACTATATTTGGTAGTTTATTGATAGTGTCTTAAAGATTAAGGAGTACACTAATTTAGTAAGTATAAGGAAGCAAACAACAGTAACAAAACGCCTTTCATCTAAGTTAAGTTCGGCTGTGGGTGGGACAACTTTTAAATAAATATAAATATATGATACAAATAATATTTGTATCCGGATGCTAATCAATTGCTCTTTATGCTTCTTGCCATAATCTTTTCATATTGACTTCTGTTCAAACGCGTTCCTCCAATGTCGTTCATCTTTCAAGTGTCTTATTTTTTACTTGGATAAAATTGGCAAACTAAATTAGTAAATAGCAAAAAACACTTTATTTTATAAAAAACACTTAAATTATACACATTTTTCATATAAAATCATATTTGGTTTATGCTACTAAAACAAGCGTCGGAAAAGACCGTTGATAATGTTGACGATGACAACAACGACAATTCTATAAAAAAAAAAAAAAAAAAAATAGATAATAATAATAATATTTACTTAGTTTAACCGAGACATGAATTTACAATACACATATTATAATATACATATATTTTAAGTTTGAGTGAAGTACAGATAATTATATAGTTATAGTAAATAAATAAAATACTCAAGTCTTAACACGAAAGTAAAATTATAATAATATTATTTAAAAATATACAAGAAAAAAGATTACCAATTTACCAACGGTTTTATTTCGTATTAAAAAAAAAACAGTTTTGAGTATTTAAGAAAACTTAAAATTTATAATAACACAGTCACATTAAAATTTAAAAAGTTAAGAACAATTAATGATTTTTAACAAGTTTTACCTAAGTACTCGTATTTAAAAATATACAAATTTTTACTTCAACAGTAGTAAAAACTACAATATAATAAAAAAAAAGAAAAATGTATACAATTTACGGCCATGTGAGAGGAGGAACGGTTGATGACAAATTTACAATGTTCATAATATAATATATTAAAATATACAATTATAACTGTCATCGTATCACGATGCGTCCTCTAAGCCCAGAGATTGCTTGAGTAGTTCAGCCATAGTTAACTTGTCGGCTTCTTCGTCTTCTGTGTAAAGACAAGGTTGAGAAAAAAAAACACGAGGATTAGTGTCGATTGAAATTCTATTATAATATTGTTATTATTATTATTTGTTTTTAACGTACCGTTTCCTCCGCCAGTGACTTGTTGTTCGAGGTTTAGTTTTTCTTGCGCGACTTTGAACATTGACTGTTCAATCGAATCCTTGCTTATGAATTTAATTATATTGACTGGCCTAGAAAAACACACACAGTTTGATTTGGTTAGGTCTGGTTTATAAAAGACCTGGGCCTTATTTAAAATACATTTTTATTGAAATAAATATTCAAATCATTTCTGTTTTATCAACATATTGTTTTTCGATAATAACGAATTACCCGAAATACATTATATTTTATTTACCATTTCAAATAAATATACTATATCAAATAATTTATTATTTATAATAAATAAAACTTTTTTGATGCACTAAAAAAAAAGAAGAAAAATGTGAATTTTAAATAAAAATTGTCCAAGTCAGATTGTAACTGCTCACTTGGTTTGTCCGACTCTGTGACAACGATCCTCAGCTTGCTTGTCGTTGTATGGATTGTAGTCTATGTCGTGAAAGATCACCGTGTCGGCCGACGTTAAATTGATGCCCAAACCGCCAGCTTTGGTGGACAGCAAAAACGCAAATACGCTTTCGTCCATGTTGTACAAATCGATCATCAATTGCCTAAAACCGATCGGAACGCTTTATCGATTAATCTCGAGTAAAAAAAAAATCTAAGAAATAGTCAAGATGTGTGTGGTTTGAAACTAATATTTCGTTACTAGGCTTATACACGAATAAGCGTGTTTACCTTTCTTGGACTTGAGTCGACCCGTCTAATCTTAAATAGGAGTGGCCGGAATGCGACATGTAGATTTCTAATAGATCTAATACTGTTAGGAACTGACTGAAAATCAACACACGGTGACCTCTGTCTTTGAGATCGGGTAATATTTGGTCGAGCTGTTTGAATTTGCCCGAGTCCAAAAACATTTCGATCGGAAGATCGTACTTCAATTTGCTCAGGCACTAAAAAAGCAACTAATTAATGGCGAACGAGACGTGCGGGCTTCCGTAGGCAACACAAACCTTGTAGTCTCCACACATTTTGTGCAAATCGAAGTCCGACATAAACGACAAATCTTCGGCAATGTATTGTTCGTTCTTCTGTTTGTAAGTCGGATCCGTCGCTAACAGTTTGGCCATTTTGTATAGTTTTTCGTCCTGAAAAACAATCACAAGAGTATTAACTGTGACGACGTTCGGAGAAGTTATGTTAAGATTTTTACCTCGAAATGGTAACGCAACAAAAGCGGGTGGTTGGTTAGCTTTCTCAACATCATCACCCACATCATGTGATTGTTTTCGGAAGTGCTCTTCTCTCTGGACTCTTCTTTTATTTCCTCGGCCAACGTAGAGTAACGAGTCAGTTGATGTTCGGACATACTCACTTCGTTTACGACTATCGTTTTCACCGGCAATGATTTCAGTACGTCGGCTTTCAAACGTCTCAACATGAATGGTTCGATAATACGTTTGGCCTGTTCGATACGGTGCATTTCGCACTTGGAACTGGTATTTTTCTGTAAGTTATAATTAAAAAAAAAAAAAAATTAGTGAATCAGCAAAGTAATTGACAATTGACTACTTACAGCGCCTTTGGAAAAAAGAAATTTAATGTTTTCCACTTTGCCGCGGAATAGTTTTGGCATGAGAAATATCAGCAACGACATCAACTCGAGCAGATTATTTTGTAACGGCGTACCCGTCAATAGGATTTTATAGTTTCCCTATAAACAACAAAAGAAAGAAAAATAACAATAAAACAGATAAAAAAAAAAAATACAATGCATAAACACAACTTCAAATGCATACATTAAAATTGGAAAAAATTTCAAAAGTCTGTGAAGTCATGTTTTTTAATTTGTGCGCCTCGTCGTAAATAATGTAATGAAATTCTTTAGTCCTAAACATTTTTTTCTCCTCGTTGGAATTAGCCGCACAACTATAACTGTAAAAATAAAACAAAATCGACGTCAGTTAAATGTAAATAAGTCCTGGGCATTTTTTTTTAAACAACATAATTATTTGAAAATAATGATGAATATAAAATCATTTCTTTTTTTTACTGTTTCAAACAACCTGTTATTTTAAATTCAAATGATTTACTTTTATTATTTTAACTTTTATTTAAACCATTTTCTCATTATAAATGCCATTTTGACTGTTATTTGAATAAATATTTAATTAGAGTATAAATTTAAATTTGAATTTAACAATTTTGTACTGTACTTGAATATTTAATTAATAATTACGAACAAAAATTTAAAAAAATTTAATATTTATAACTTCAAATAATAAATTATGCAAATAATTTTTTATTTTTATATTTTCGAATAATACCATTATTTGATTTTATTATTAAAATTTTACTATTTTTATTTATTTTATTTCAATAACGCTTAGGTCTGAAATGGATATTCAATCAACAAAAATTATTTTTATTTTTTATTTAAATAATTCCCAGGTTTGCAGTTTAACGACTGCTGTGTTTTTTTATTATTATTACTATTAACCGTACGTAGTTAGTATCACGTCAATATCGCCAAATCCATATTTGATCCATTCGCTTCTTAAATATCTCCTTTCGTCCATCGATCCGTGATACTTTTCCACTTTTAAAGAAGGACACCATCTTTCAAATTCTTGATACCAATTATCTGAAAAAAAAAACACTGTTTTTATAATGTTTGGATTTTGAAAGAAAAAGACATACCTAAAGTAGATGCGGGCACTACGATCAATTGAGGCAGTTCAGGATGAGTGCGACCGGTTTCTTTGAGATGCGCCAAAAAAGCAATGATTTGAACGGTTTTACCCAAACCCATTTCGTCAGCCAACATCATGTTGAGCTTTTGAGAGTTCATCAACATGAGCCAGTTGAGACCAATCATTTGATAGCCGGCCAACTGCAAACTGTATACACAAAATGTATGAAAATTGAGTAACGTTTAATATTAAATTTAGAGAAAAAAAATGTATGTTCACACTTACTCCTTATTTAAACTCGCCGGTTGCGTTTTGATCAACATGTTGCTGGTGGTAATAGAGTGGCCATTTTTCAAGGACAGTTTTTCACATTTTTTCATCAGCTGAGTAACGATTTCTTGACAGTTAACCACGTGCATAACGTTTTGCAACGCTTGGTCTCCAAGTACTTTTGAGTTGTTCACTTTAGATTTCTATCGAACAAACCATTAATGATTATTTAATTGCTTATCAGAAAATGACAGAAATGTTTTACTAATTAAATGTCGTCTTACCGCGTCGAACCAGTTTGCGAACGGTCTCAATGCTACGAGAGCTTCAAACTTTCTGGTGGTCATGCCTTTTACAATCCTCATCTCAACTTCGGTGGCATTGTTTAATAGTTCCAAAGCTCGCTCTCTAATTTCAGTACTGCTGTCTTTGACCAAATTTTGTTCGCTGAAAAACATTGTGTTAGTTATTATCTTCGTCGATAGACATATGGTTATTATATTTTTATCTCACATACTCTTTATACTCTTCAAATTCATCGTCAATTCCACCGTCCGAGTCACTGTTATCACCGTCGTTAGTCCTAATACGTTTTCTACCTAAAATTATAATCCGGTTAGCATTGTCTGTCTAAATTAGAGTTTATTTGTCTTAGTTCTTACACTGATTTTAAATTTGCAATAATTATAAACCTCAAAAAAATGTATCGCAAAACTCGAAATAATTATAAAATAAAATTTGAACCATTGTAGTCATTTTTGGTTTAAAATCAGCATAAGAACACCGTACGACAAAAAACTCACATCAGTTGTTGGTTTACATACTTTTTTTGTTTTGGAGTTTAATTCGTTTCCTTGAAGGCATTTCAACCAGAGGTTTAGAGTTGGTCGCTGGTGAATTAACGTTGGTCACTAGCGGTTTTGCGGCCAAACTCTTCGAACCCATTAAGACCACCTTGGAAAGTACATCGTCCGGTTTATCGTCTAGTTCATGGACCACCCGAGGATTCAGGCTTTTCACACATTTTATTTTACATTCGTTTTCACCGATAGTGACACCGTTTAATCCTTTCGACTTAACTCTATTAATGTCATCCTCTGATATAGAATACGCTGCAATAATTCCTTTAGATTCAATCTAAACAAGAAAACCGTACATTAATTTTATTTACAATTACGTTACCAATAGAAATTGAGGTCATTGAGGATTTGTTCTTACTTCATCAGCAACATGAGAGGCATCTCCATTCATAGTCGGCTTGACATCGCTCTCTTCATCAGACGATATAATTATGGTTGCCATCCTCTGTTTTTTAACAACTTTAACTAGAAAATTACAAGTTTTATTAATTGGTTTTACTTTTCATTATTTAGGTAAACAAAAAAAGAATGAAATAATATAATAATTTTATTAAATACATGGACTTTCTTCTAACGAGTCTTCTAACGCGTTTGAACTCGACGCGGCTGCTTCGTGACTGAACGAAGGTTTACCGGCGTATCTGAAGTTTCCGATCAAGCTAGGGCTAGTGGCGGTGTCGTTGGTGGGCGAATTCATCTATAAAAAATGTGAAACCGGTTGAATATTTCGTTCATTGCCGCGATTGTACATTAAAATAATTACTTTATTTTAAATAATAATTTGCAGAAGTTTTAAAAGTATTACCGTGTGTGTGTGTGCGACAACAACCGATATGCACAAATGTTAAATAAGCAACGAAACACTCGGTTGAAATGTATTAAAATCGAATATAGGTATGGATAAAAAATCAACGTCGTTGACTAATAATAATTTAAATTTTTAAAAAAAAAATTACAGTTAACTGTTAAGTGTTAACCGAATCACAGTTGCAGTAAGTTGCACAATATGCATCTACGCTATGTATAAAAAGTAGGTATTTATTATAAAAGAAACCGCAGGATCGTTGAATGGAAAATATCAAGTGGTCCCAAGCCGTTATCAGTCGTGTGGTATTTTTTTCATGGAAGAGGAAAAAAAAGTGTTGCTCCGCTGTGGCGGAATTGGCGGGAAACCTGATAACAGATAAAATCACAAAGGGGTCAGCAAATCATTAAAGGGATAATGTAAACAAAAACGTGACGGCCATCTTATCGTTGGTTAAATCATTGATGTAAAAATTATATCGATACACAACAGTTTTAAAAATAATGCATAGCTGATAAATGATATTAATATAGCAACGGGATTCTAGCCGCTGCGTTTTTGTGAGTGATAAGTAGCTGTATCATCCCTGTGTGGGCCTGATGGAATTCACTTGTTACCAGGCCTCGACAAGTCGGATACCACAACCGCGGTTACGTGTCAAAGGGTTTTGTAGATCCCATTTTGTTTTTTTTTTTTTTAAATTAGCCATCTCACAACTGATTTCGACATATTTTGGTTAATTTGCCTTAAGGGTTTGACTTTTGACTTTTCGCCGTCGAATAATAATAAAAAACTAGTTGAATAAATAAATTTCATCATTTAGAAAAATACAATCAACAATTTATAGTTGCTATAAACTCAATTCAAACTTCAAATGAATCGCTAAACACAGATAGGGCACATGTCCGCACATATCCTGTTTTTCGTCCTAAATGTTAATAAAATAAAATGTTTGTGAGCCGTTTTCATATTAATGTTATTTTAATTTTTGGTAATAAAAAAAGCCACTTATTTATAAGAAATTGTTGTAAGTATTCTTAGTAATTTGAAGCATTAACGGCACAAGTACCTAGAGTTTTACAATACTTCTGTAAGTGGTTTTAAAACCATGGTCTTAAACAAAATTATTTAACAACATACAATTTGCAATTCAATTTTTTTAAGAACCATTAAGATTTGTCAAACATATCAGGGATTGAAACATTGTTGTTATTTTTTTTTACAATTGGGTTCAACTAAAACTGTTTGAAAACAAACCTTTATTTACAAGAGGTTAATCAAAAAAGATATTTCTGTTAAACTGTTAAATTAAAGTTCTAGTTTAATATAAGTTTTTACCTTTTTTATATCAATGTCACATACCATTTTTTACAAAAAAAATTCAACTATTAAGTCGTTAAGTACTTGGTTGATTTTTCATAAAATTGATTGTGTTTAAAAAATTAAACTGTCATTTATACTATGAAATTATATTGATTTTACTTATATTATATTGACATAACTATCATAATTTGTTTAATGGAATTTCAAATTTCATTTGTATGTTAAATGCTATTAGTATAGTAAAATTATTATTAAGTTTTATATTATGCATATTGAGATGATTACATTTCCTATTAATATAAACGTAAAAGCATAATACATTTTTAGCATTAAACCCTATTCATGCTAATGGTTTATAATAATAAATATACTTAAAGGTAGATAGTATGTTTTAAACCTTCAATTCTAATACCAATTTGGTGAGCTTAATCAAAGCCTTTGCTGACCAACCTTTGAAGTAATTATTACATAACAAAGTTGTACTGGAAAAATTAATTTACTTCTATTGATGTAATATATAAAGTAAATTTTGTACCAAAAACATTGTTATATGTGGTTTACTTGTTAAATATTATATTTTTTCTTTAAAAATTGTTTTTTTTTTCATATTTAAAACTTGATAATTTACAATTATTAACTTTATTAATTTATACTATTATTTTTTTTTTAAATTTATTTAACAAACTAGTTTACAAAAAAAAGTAACTTTCCTTAGCCTTGGCCGGCTTATGAGAGTGTGACATGTAGGTATACAGCTAACAACAAGTACCTAGTATAGTTACTTTCTTTTCTTATAAATATTTACTCTTTAACATACAGGCAAAGATAAAGAGTTTAACTAATTAATATTTTTCACATAAGCGATTTTCCATAACGTTCTTTCATATTATGTTATACAACATAAAAATTGCATTTTTCACTAGTTTATATATTATTATTTTTGTTGGAAAATCGACTATTCCTATTAACATGTTATTAAGCTCTTGGCCTCTAAGTGTTTTCATACCGTATCGAAAACCTTACCTTGTGTGATCTAAATGTAGTATTATCAATATTAAAATGTGTAAAACATTAACAAATATCAGCTGGCGAACCTTTATAATTTCCCAGCCATTATATTGTACAATACACTTGACACTGGAATTTCAATATAATCCATTTGTGTCGCTTTCCCACACGTTCAGCAATCCTATAACGTTTTAACGGGATTATCGAGTGTTAATTTAATTATATTGGCAATGTTTGTTTGGAAATGAAAACGAGGGATTTTATTTTATTTATCACATTTGCTAAATCCTTCCCTCGCCCCAATGTATGTACATAATAATATGTGAACTGCATTGAGCGCACAAATGTACTTTTAGCTTAAGGATAATAAATTATAAATTAATTGCACAATAACAGCTGGAGAGCTCTACCTATGTGCCAGTTTAATGTTGATCGCATTGTCAACACTAGATGGCATTGTACAAATAGTAGTTAAAGTAAAAAAGAGTATTGTTTCACTTTCCTTACTTAATAGAGTCTGCATAACATTTAACAAACCGGTATTTAAAATATGCTGACCGCACTAGTATATCTACTTTCAGGCTTCAAGTCTTAAAACTACAATTAAGCAAATGAAAGAATAAACGCATTCCAAGTACAATTTGTGATTTATTGATATTTTCCTACATAAAAATAATAGGTTCATCGGTTTAGGAGATTTTGTGAGTACACACACAAAACAAAAACAATATTATTATAAAAACAAATACCTTCTCAGTTTCGCATCGAAGGTAAAAATTGAAATTTACATAAATCAAAAACTATTTGATTGGCTTAATTAAAAGTAATTTTAGTTAACTAGTATTTTTAAAACTATTATTTGTTGTTTTTTATTTAAATAAAGAAATTGATACAACATAAGGCATTTGCAGATATTTTAGGTAATGTTATTCTACAGTGTTAAATAATATTAACATTTTTATTGGAAGTTTAGCTCTTGGAACTTAAACTGTAGTAACGCACACATTTTATTAGCTTTTTAATAAATAATTTACTAAAAAATGTTCACTGGTCGATAAGCACTTTTGAATAATTACTTTTTGAGTTATGTAACACTACACTCCATTTCACGCCTTTTTTGGCGTCCTAAATTTTAATTATTATTAACTTTCAAACTATTTATTCAAAACTGGCTATTGAAGTGTTCGGCAAATTATTATTAATACAAAAAGCCAATTAAATACACAGGTCACCGTTTAAGTTTCAAAAGTTGATAGAACTCTGGAAAATACTGAATTTTAAGTTATTTTATAATATTGTACAACAACATAAAGACAAACTGTTTTTAACTACAAAATTAAATTTTTATTTTTTATATTGATAGTTGAGTACAAAAATTTGTAATAATTTTTTAGAAGACTTTAAGACTTCAGAAAGTTTATTTTGATTTTTACTAATGCTAATACAGTTTTTAATGATATATTTTGTACACTGTTTTCTAATTTACTACTTGCGGATAACTTTTTAGAGTGTCTTACGTTAAATTGATCACTCTGTATACATATACATATAGATACATTACGCCATTACATTTTATCGGACGGCAACGTGTACCGTTAAAGGCCACTAGGGGCCTACGACGTTGCGTTATTGGTCGGGTGGCACGTAATAGATGACTCGAGTGGAGCTGTCGCGCACCCGCGCTGTCTGGTCGCCGGCCGGCGGCGGCCAACCGTCGTCGGTGCACGGCGACAAATTGAACGGCACTTTGGTGGGACTGCAGCCTTTCATCAGGTACGTGACGATCATTTCCGTTGGCGGCCACCCGGTCGCCGTATTGCGCTCGGTCAACGTGGCCGTTTTCCGCAGCCACCAGTTCCACGCGGCCCGTCCAGGCCTGATGGCACCGCCGCCGCCGCCGTCCACGATTTTCGCCAGGCTGGCCGCGAAACCGTCTTCCGGGTACGGCGTCCTCGCGTGCGACCTGCGCTCACAAAACTCAGTTACTCAGTGCCGGTTTTGGCCGTTTAAGTACATCTAAGTATGACGTTTTCGATGATTTTTTTTAAAAATCACAACACAAAAAAGATAAAAAAAATTAAGCTATTTTTTTTTTAATTTTCACCAAAAACATTTTACTTAATTACACAGCTCTTTATTGTTTATAATATTTATACTATATCTAAAATGGGTAAAACGGTATTTTTTTTTTGTGAAAATCCAGTTATTTTAATTTCTATATAATTTTCCAAATAATTTTGGTGTTTTTTTTTTTTTTGGTAATCACCACAGAATTTCTGTTAAAACAAGGCCAAAGGACAAATTGAACGATAATTATTATTTACATTTGATTTGTCGCCTTAGAAATTAGGCCTACATAATGTTAATTGGTGCACAAGTCATATCATAGTTAGGTTAGAATATGGCTTTGGTTTTAGAGATACAAGTATCTCTAAGTATGACAAATAAACGTTACACCAATTACTATTATTTAACTTACAAGTGGGAAAGTTTGGTTTTACAGTTTTTTAACGTTAGTATTACTAGGACACAGTTCCAGCTGTGTTAATTAAATTATTAAAGTTGCTAATAAACTTTTCACGAAAATTAATATAACAACTATTAATTGGATATACTATGCACATATTATGGCAATACAGTTCTGTACTAAGTCATTGTCTCTTCTCGATTTGTTTGATTGTTATTATTCTAACGCAAAAACATTTAAGTACTTTTTCTTCTTTTTCATCAAACGATTTTAATTTATTTTACGGTTATATTATATTTTCAGTAAAAACAATTTTATTATTGTCATTGTTCTGTTTGTTTTTTTTTTTTTATGGAAATTGCAAGTGCTGAGGAAATCTGGCAAGACGAGTCTTATAGTTAACAATTGTCAATAAACTGTTGCTTTCATGCTTACCACCTGGTGTTTAACTCTATGGGATCACTGCATACCGGTACATCTTGTTCGATTATCGCACACGAACTGATGTGTGTCAAACGATTAGAAACGGTTATGGTCTTTGTGGGGAATATTCCTCGACCTTCGATCCGGACCGTGGCGATCGTCGTCGCTGTCAAATAGAATAAAAATCTGAAAACCAATATGAACAATCTTAATCTGTAATAATATGGCTGATAATTTATTAGAATATATATATTTTCTTGAGCGTTTTGCTATTTTGGAATAAAAAAATACCCCACGCATCGATACCGAAAGGAGTTTTAATGTAAAAAACATGTTCACATAATGTGTAGATCAGATAACTATTGTTCCGGATTTATTTCAAATGGTGGCTACATTTTTGGAGCCCTTTACAAGCATAAAATGAACCCAAGACAATGTGTACACAACAATACAAGTGTACTTTTGGGGACATTTAAAAAAAAATATATTTATTTTATACTATTATCCAAATTATTTAAAATACCTACATATAAAATGTTTCAAAGTTTTATAGTAAACCTTGGAATGATTTAGATCCAATAAAATTTCACTTTTATATGAAAAAATATCCAAGTAATAATTTTAAATACATTTTTATTTGGAATATTTCAAACACGTTTTCAATTTTAACTCAAATAAATAAATAATTTTAAAAAAAACCGGTCGTTTGAAACAGTCAATTAAAAATGTATTTAAATAAAATATTATTTGAAGTTATGGACAAAATATTTCAAATCATTTATTAGGTATTTGAAACACTAAATAGCTCATATAAACTTATTTGAAATATTTGTTATGCTAAATTGAAAAAAAAATGTATTTAAATTAATTAATTTGTTTCTAATTATTTTTTGTTATATAATCATTTATTCAGAATAAAATTCTGTCTATTATTTGAGTTTCTATTGAAATAACTTTGCATTTTTATAATAGTTACTTTAATCTATTAATTATGTTAATAAAATAGATGCTTTTGAAAAAGGCATTTGATTGTGCTTAGGAATGAATTATCCCATCTGGCCACGGGTTTAATCCTACTCAACTGATTTACTTGACAAATTTTATATATTATATAAACAAAATTAATATTGTTAGTACTACAAAACGCCTAGAGCGGTCAGAGAGAGTGGCAAAGACGGTGACGAATAAAATATATTTATTAAAATATCAATTGTACAAGAAAGTCAATGGGATTGGATTGGTTTGGCTGTGTACGGTTTTCACAAGTTCAATTTCAAGAAGACAATGTTGACATATTGTGTTCTTATCGAGTCATATTGATTTCGGATACTTTCTAAAAACTGATAAGATATTCTATACATTAAAACAAACAATTCGTTAATTACTTTTACACCAACGTTAATTATAGAAAGCACGTGCATAATATGTAAGTCTCGGTGCAATACACGATTTCCGCTTTTATAAGTACAATAATAAATTAATTACTAAACACAATCCGTTATCTAAAAAAAAAAAATAAAAAACTCAAATGGATTGTTTCAAAATATATAATTATTGCCATATTGTTGAACACCCCAAAAATAAGTGACTTAAACATTTTAAGTTTTTTCGCATAAAGAGAGGTCTCTGCTTAGCCCCTCTAGATGTTTGAAAAAACCTAGATAGTTGGTACACTCTATTTTTTGATTAAAATTTAATTATTAAAATATTTAACAATCATAAAGTACACAGGTGTAAAAAGTATATATATATTTATGTATACACGTATGGTTGATTTTTGACTTTAAGATCCTTAAAACACATTAAGTGCCAAAAAAGTTAAAAAAAGAAGAAATTATCAAATTCGTTTGATATTTACCAACGGAAAGTCTTTCTCAGGATATAACAAAATAATATACCTATTTGACAAAGTTTTATAAATTGTATTTTTTCTTTTAATTTCATTAAGAATATCTAATATTTATAATTGTCGAGCCGTAATACCTCTTTAGTGAAAGCTAATAAAAAATAAAGTTTAAAAAAAAAAACGGTAAATATTTATAGGCTTAATAATTTAATTATTAAAGCTTTATAATATAAAAAAAAAATCATCATTTAGACCTTTGCCCATTTCTACACGAGTATAGCTGTTAAAAAAAAATGTAAACATTTTCCATCAAATTCAAGTGTAAATAAATTATGATAATTAATCTATTTGTTTTTACATATCTATAGCGTACAACTGTATAATAGCGACAAAGCTGTACAATTTATTTATTGTCTCCAAATGGGAACGTGACGGTTGTTGACAGGGCAATAATAATAATTCACCCCAATATTTGTTCAAAAATCATTACCGTGTTAAAATGCGCCAATTATTGTGATTTCGGTTATGATAACATACCTACATTATATTTGTCAATGCCGAGTAAATATAATTATTAAAAAAAAAAAAAAAAAATTGTCCTTACCTCATTTTAGCGCGTACACAAACATAATAATAATAATAATAATCTAAAAACCACAAGCCAGCACGAAACACGACCTATGACTGCGACTAATGACAGTGAAAAGAATAAAATACAATACTCGACGACACTCGTTGGCGGTGTAGATACAATGTTAATGTGCTTGGCTCATTTAAGAGATTTCAGAGTGCTCATAACTGATAGGAATCCACGTTACACGTCTGCATTCTTATGGGCCGTAACTGTGTTTTTATCGACCACTCCATATCAATCAGATTTGGGCCTAAAACCAAATTTAACCTAAGTGAGGTACAACCAATATGTGTTGCCACCGGCATATTATAGACACAGACTGTATGGTCATAATTTGAACTAATACCTTTTTTTTTTTTAGTCATTAAAAGAGAAACAAATCAATCAACACTATTTCATTACAACGGTCTCGCTAAAATTAAAAACCACAAGTATGGGGGGTGGTTTTCGATCACCTCTCCACCGTACAGCTGTTAATTGGAAAATTGTTTTACCTCTGGATTTAGTTGTCGGTAAGTTGGTCGCCCGTCAAGTCGAGTCGACTGCGGTGACGGTTTAATTAAAAAAAAAAAAAAAACGGTTAGGCGGTCGTGTACGACGTTTGCCGGTAAAAAGTACACGGTAAAGTGTAAAGCTAAACCGTTTATTTTGCTCGAGAGGGGTCGGCGGTAAAGTTTTATATTAATAAATCCCAGACTTGTCCGACAAGTATAAGAGAGCTTTTTAATTGATCCGATATATATATATATATAAGTACTCTCTCACGAGTCTCCCCACAATGTTAATACATCTCTCTCTATCTATCTCTATGCACGTTCGGTCAGCCATCGCACTCGTTTCAGAGAGTAATTAGCTAACCGGCCGACGTGTCCTTGCATAATTCAAATGGCCGGCACCGTATCGTTCACACGACTCCATTACATCCGTTCGCCTACCCCTTTTACTTCCGCACGTCCCCCGTCCGGGGCGGCCGCCGTTAGTTAATAGCGGCCCGTTCGACCGGAACCGTTCCGGAAGTACGAATGTGTTTGCCGAAAACGACGTCCCTCGGTTTTAACGGCAAACAAAACTCTATTTGTCACCGGCACGACGTCCACGGTCCTTTGGCCATACATTATACTTGTACGTGTGTATTTGTATACAATATATCACCCCCCCCCCCCCCCCCACAAATTAATAACCCCCGTTTATGTTTATGGTTTACCGGAGGATAAAATCACAAACTCATATGAACCCATGACTATTTGAATGGTATAAAGTTACTTAATTTGAAAGTATTCGGGTCGACCCAGTGTATTAGGGACGACTAGGGCCGGTGGAGCTATATTTAGGTCAGGGATGTCTTTAGGCATTATTACAGCTGAGAGTAAGAAAATCACTCTCAAAGAAACGCTTCGATGCAAATACTAAACAACCAACCGAAAAATTAAAACTAAAAAATTGCTGCTATTTAAAAAAAAAAAATAATAATATGTCTTAAATTGATCACTGCAAAACAATTTCCTATTCTAACCTTCCGCCCGTCTCATTAGCTAATTTATATATTTCAAGCGAATCAAGTGTTTCTCCTTCTTCTTGAGAAACGAGTAGGAAAAATTGAATAATTGAATATCGGTAAAAGCCTAAAACAAACAAACCTAACATAAAATAGTGTTTACTGTTTATGTTTTTAAAAATATATTATATTCATGTTATAATGTGGAAATAAGTAAATATGAATAGATTTGAGGGATAAGATTAATGATATTTTCTTGTTTTTGCACTGTATAATATTCCATTTAAGTTTGTATAAAATAACAATGTGTATATTTTTAGAGTTTTTTTCACGATTTTGTAAGGGACAACGGGTGAACTGTGATTTACTGTTTCTTTCAGGGTTCAAAAAAAAAATGTATTTTACAATAATTAGGTAATGAATTAACACAACAAAAAAAAAACTATTGTCCCAGCTCAGTTGAATGTTCACTTTCGGTTACCTCGAGAATAAAAATGTACATTTTACAGCACACGTGTATAATATATGTATTCATTATTCATACCAAATTACCTATTCAGTGTTTGTCAAACAACCCTTGCAAAACGATACTTGTGATGTTTTAGTTTTTGTTGCACGACTGATTGTATGTACAACAACAAAGATTTTTTTATTCGGCCAACACAATTTATTTTTGTTAAATATATATATACTTTTATTAAAGTATATATTGTACAGTATATACTCAATGATATTACTGTTATAGCAGTAATATTAGCCAACTGTCCATCAACGTGTTAAACAATCACATATATATATATATATTCTATAATTGGAGAACGTTAATAGTGTGGATATTTTTTATGAACTAAAGAAGCTTATATTGTCATAATATATCATTAAAGTGGTATTTAAAATAATGGGCTAGGACTACGTACAGTTTCGGTTTTTTCAAAAATTTAGCATATTTTGGTTAGCATTTTATTAGTTTTGTGTTTGTATTGATAATAATAATTTCTGAAAGTAATATAAAATGTCTAATCGCTTTAATTTGAGTATTATACTATTCAAAACTATACTATATTAACAATAATTGTTAATATTTCTTATTAACCCTTCACTGCATGAATTTTTTAAATTGTATAAAAAAAATATATTTGATTTATTAAATGCCACTGATTTTCAAAAAAATAGTCAACAATTTTTATTTTTATTTTATGGTCATAAATCAAGGATTTAAAAGTAGAATGCATTTATGCATGATCATGCAATATCGTCATGTATTTAACAAATCCTATTATAATAAAAATAATCAACATAACTAATTGTAATAACGACTTGTACAAATTATAAGCTAATAACAAATGAATTACTTAATCTAATTAATTATGAAATTTATAAAAACAATTTCTTTCACTATTGAAACATAAGTATACTAAACATTTTGAACACTGAATAAATGTTTGATATTTGCACTTGGACATCTTACAAGTTCTTCTGTTGGGTGTTTGAATTGGCCAGTGATTTAATTGATCTTTGATGATATCCATAGGAGGCAGTGATGGTGTTGAACTTTGTTTGTTTTTTTTTTGCTGTAGTTCTACAAGTTCATTGGACCTCCTCCCCCTACCTTGTCTTCTATCAGTACTACCAAGACAAAGTGAAACTGAGAGTTGTTCTCTAAAAGCAGACAATGTAATTTTGTGTCCTCCCACCTTTTTATACAACATCCATGAATTTACAACGCTCATGTCCAATAAATGGTAAAATATTTGAATGTACCATTTTTTGGTTCTCATAGTTACACGGTACCGAGCAATCATTGAGTCAATTAAATCCACTCCACCCATGTGGGCGTTGTATACTTCAATAATATTTGGTCTTAGAACTTCAATTTTTGTTTTTTATCAAAACGTTTCACTTTACTTTTTACAAGTTCTCCTACAAAAGTTGAAGCAACGTTTACAATTTTGTTATCTCTCCATTGGACTGCTGTAATAGGGACATCATTGACTACAGTGTTACACTCCTCAGAAGTTCCACGTGGTTTTTTCATAAATTCTTTTTCACCCATAAATTTTAAGTTAGGAAATCTATTTCTGCGAAATGTACCAACATTATGTATGCCTCTTTTTTGCAAATACACCATAACAGGAAGTGATGTATAGTAATTATCGAAATATAGTTTATGATTTTTATTTGTAGGTATCACTCTAGCAAGTCTTACAACAGTATTGCCCGTAGCACCCAAATCAGGTTCATCAAGCTGTAATCGTTCATTTGTATCATTTTCATTTCCAGTGTATATTTCGAAGTTATATGCATACCCCGAAACACCACATATGACAAAAAGTTTATACCCCCATTTGTGTGGTTTGAGTGGTAGATATTGTTTGAGGTACGAACGGGCTTTGGTAGGACACAGTTGTTCATCTAGAGAAAGATTTTCTTCAAATGGTAGGGAACTAAATTTAGTTTTCACGTTTTTATCTTTAACATCAATAACAATAACAGTGGCTTAGAATTTAATTTATGTTTTCTTTATATATATATATAATTCTCTAAAAAGACTTATAGAGTTGCTCACCACGGCACAAGTTCAATATTTTTCAACAGAATCCAATCACACACAATGGACTCCATTAAGTCGGCGTACACGCCTATGTGGGTAATATGTTCACAACCTTAACTTTGCTAGTTCTGCACAAAATTTGAGCCAAAGAATATAAGTTTTTCATTTTTATAAGTTGATCAACGCGAGCTGATCAAATACAAATCTACTAAATAAAATATAATTTGATACGCTGAATAAACAATCGCGAGTCCCATCTAAAAAAAAAAAAAAAACAAGATAAAAGGTTTTAAAATGGAAATGTTTTCAATATTTATAGACTAGTTTTTAGATTGTTTTCTGACGGCTATTCGAAGATAAATAAATAAGAAAATCGATCAAGTAGTTAAAGATTAAAAGTAAACAAATTGGTAATTGCGGGTAAGATATTAAAATAAGAGAGAGCTGATGTTATTGCTAATACTAAAATTCACTGTGATTATTATTTGTTTTCGTTAAAATTATAAATTGTCGTTTATATTTCTCAATTGAATAAAATAATATTTTTTATTACACAAAATTAAGTCATTTTTAACAAGATTTCTTCAAGAGAAGTGTGTGTTTTTTTATTGTGAAGCTTTTTTTACTAGGTACCCAATAATACATTTTTTTTTGTTCTTGTTCTATCACATTTTCATTTTTTCTTGATTTTATATTTTTAAATTCCAATCTACAAGTGTTACTATAACCTCGTGTAGTACTACTTAACTCGTATAATGTTTCTTTAACTCTGAAAACAAACGTTTTTGTTTATTTTTGTCGATAATCTGATATTTGGATTAAGGTATAGGTATTGTTCGCTTCGTTCCACCGGATAATTCAAGGCCTTAAGTTTATATTTTGGTTTTTTTTATTCACCTAAAAAAATATTGACGTAATAAGCGAAAGAAATCAATTACAATTTTTTATTGTGCATTTCCGATTAACTTATGTGTATACTTGACCTTGCAACGACGAACAATGCATAAATGC